TTGCTCAGACAGTGTCCAAAATGACCATACGGGTTACCTGATGATCCACTAAACAATTACTTGCCGTCAGTCTGCTGCTAGCTACCATTTGGCTAATGTTAGGCTTATTTGTAGCTAGGTTTATGTGTAGAGGCTGTGTAGTCTGAACCAAGGTGACAAACTCTTCAATGCCTCGCACACTGGCAGTGCATTAACAGCATCACATTTCTGTTCCTACCTGTCACAATAAAAGCTCTCTAGAGACCAAACTACTGACCACACGTCTTTGAACTTGGCCTTCGTCTTGATTCCAACTACACACATGTACAGTTTCATGACTCTATTGTGTGTGGTTGCAATGTTATCGGGTTAACAAAATCTGTCCACAGACAGACAGACAAACATTTCTACACATGCAAAAGTACTCAAAACTCCTTCTGTGGTAGTTTCTGCTACAAGTGGTGTCACCAGGACCACATTTTGCCATGATGACACACACAGACTCATGTGGTGAAAACAATACCAGCCGTCGTGACGTTGTCGTGGCTGGTATTGTTTAATGTTTCTGCCTGACTGTAACACTGTGGGTTCAGAAAGCTACCCATGGAAAGAGGAACAACAGCGGAGCCAGTGGCAATGATCAGATGTGTGTTTAATCTGAACCATCGATTATAAAAACACTTTTACAACTTTGTCTACTTTTTCTTTATTGGTTCCTGTTCCTCTCTGACATTCAAGTACACTTTCATTTGGGAAAAATGAGGTAGCTCGACCCAGCTTCAACCAAGATTTTAATTGGAACATTTTTTTGCTTGGTTTCTCCCTTACATCTGTTTTGTTCTTCAGTAAAAACTGTTATTTCTATCACTCGCATTCTGTGATGCCCTGACTAGCAATTTAGCTATACTCAGTACTGAAGCAGCAGTCATAGGGTGTCTGCATTTTCTTTCTTTAAAGCTGTTTATTATTTCCACATGTTGTAGGAATGAGAAGTGAAAATGTCCAATCCGGTAAAAGCAATTCCTCCATCCTCACATCTCTCTTGCAGGAAATGAGGAGCTACCTTCGCTAAATGAAAAGCACCTGTTCTGTATATACACTAAGTGTTGTTCAGATCTCTCACCTTTATCTTTACTACACACTCTCCCTCACTTAGACAAGACTCAAACTGGCATCTTATAAATCATAAACTGGTTTCATTCACTGTTTGGCCACCACAGATTCACAGAATGATGTTTACTGAACCAACCTTGTCAGCTGTGAGCTCCCGAATCTTGATTATCTGCACCCTGAACTTCATGAGCAGTGCCTCCAGGACCATACATTTCTCCTTCCAGTCCTCCTGGCTCATGGCCTCCTCCCCCTCTGCCATACCGCCTGACCCTCTGGAGAACACACAGAGACAAACACACAGCATTGAGAGACAGAGTAAGTACATACAATAAAACAATGACTGTCCACACGTTTCCTGTGGGAAAAATATTCCTTTCATTTTCCCCTTCAAGCTGGGCGGGATTCAGGGTTTTAATCCAGAGCACATCAGCAGTGAATGATTGCAGAAGTAGAGGACAATTAAAGGGACACTTCACCTCAAAATCTATCTTGTAGTGCTATTTATTAGTCTAGATTGTTTTGGTGTGAGGTGCCGAGTGTTGGAGATATCGGCTGTTGAGATGTCTGCCTTTGCTCCAGTATAATGGAACTGGATGGCACTTGACTTGTGGTGCTCTAAGTGCCAAAATATATTTCAGAGACTCAACGGCAATGTCTTTTTCCAGAAATCATGACCCTGATATTTAAGATAATCCATGGACCTTGTTGTCAGCAGTTTCATGTAGTAACTGTTTTCTTTCTGCGGAGTTACACCCACAAACCGTATAACTACGAAGAAGGAGGGGTGCATTTACAGCTAACTCACCGAGTACCACTGAGCTAGCTAACATTAGAGCCCAGCCGAGAAGGACATTAGTTTATATCTCATGCTGTATATTTGAGAGAAGGCAGACATCTCTACGGCTGATATCTCAAACACTCGGCAACTCACACCACAGCATTCTAGACTGATAAATAGCACTACAGGTAACAGGAAAAATATGTGTTTTTGATACTCGCGTGAACCTCCCCTTTAACAATCAAAAGTTCCAGGTATTCCAGGCATTGGTTGGAAACATCTCCAAAGCAGCACTGAAACTTATCAGCACTGACGCGTACTTGTGTCCACTGTGCATCAGGGCAAGAAGTGCTGAATTTGTCAGTTCTTAAATAACATGAAATGAATCAAACTTTATCACATTTATCATTAACGGTAACTTATTCATTCATTCATTTCTGTAACCGCTTATCCTCTTGAGGGTCGCAGGGGGGCTGGAGCCTATCCCAGCTGACACTGGGCGAAAAGCACCATATAAATACTAAATACTTGAAACCAGTATATTGCATCTCTGACCCAAACATATCTAGACACAGACAAAACAACAGACAGAGGGTTTGTTGTTGTGCAGATGTTTTGCCACCAGCCAGCACCTGAAAAATTCCAGGGTCGAGCCTAGCTGGACCAGTGTGGACAGTGGGTGTCTCACTATGGCTTAGCCAAACAGAAAACCACCCCTGTTGCTCCAAAACACCTCAACGCCCTCCCTGGGATGTAGTTGCATCATGTTTTCCAGCACTATCGTAGGCAAACAGGCGATACGCAGAGAGAGAGAGAGAGAGGGTGAGAGAAGAGATGAGAGACACAAATGAGGATCTCTGATGGACGAGAGCAGCAGCAGGAGGAGGAAGATAAAAAGCCTGGGTTTCTCTTCCAAGTAATAACCTCTCATTACCAGCCTGGCCTCCTCACAAAGAGACTGCAAACATGTGTGGAGGAAGGCCATAAACTGGTTTCCACTGGCTTATTTCTGTTGCCTGTTTGCTGTGGTAAACACTGACGAAGGCAAGGGGGAAAAATAGAGCACTCATCCCACAATACAAAACAACATGAATGACTATGGGCGAGGAATTTAACATGACATATTGCATGTGGATAACACTATAATGGCATACAAGCTGAGGAATTGTGATGCCATGTATCTATTCTTACATTATACCATTTCAAAAAGGAAAAAAAAAATGTTTTTTTTACTTTTAAAGATATCAAGATACGCTGTCAAACTAATCTTATATTGTTTTTAATATGCTGTTTACACTATATTGCTGTGAATCATCATAAGAGCAGGGTTTAAATGGACAAGCCTAATTAAGTTTTATTGTGAATTCTCTGTAAGACCACCCTCTCTCACCTTCTACACAATCCAGTTTATTAAGATTTAAGTTGAATAAAACCCTTGACTTACACTAATAAAAATCACAGTAATACACAGTAGTGCCTCTCAGTTGATCTTTTGAAGCTGACTCACTCGAATTTCCTTCTACGTACATGTTTTGCAGATATTAAGATCCTATGAGAATATTAGTCATTTTTCTATAATGGAGGACAGATATATTTTTTTCTCCAAGCATCATTCCACAGTGATGATGAAAGGATGTGTTTGGTGGAAAACCAAAGTCAGTTTAACCCCTGAACCCTGACTCTGGGCTTCTTTTTGTCTCTTTCTCTCTGTCTCACTTCCTGTTGAATAAAGTCTGTGTAAAGAGACCATGGAGCAGAATTTGCTGTCTGTGTGCCTCCCTGTGTTTTGGGCTGGTGATGTGCTGAGCCATTAAATCCCTTTTACGCACTGTTTATGTATTAAAATGAAGAGCTACTCCACCAGATTCTTTCAGTATTTATACAGAGACTGAAAAAGTCGACAGCGGGGCAACATTCTGGGGCAAAATGTGTAACTTTAAATTGTTTGGGCCACTTTAAAATTAATTTACAGAGACTATGACACATAATAGCTCAGGTATTATTGTTTCCTGTTACGTCACAAGAATAATTTTAAATTTAATTTACAAAAACACATATTTTGGTGTCTAAATTTTAGGGTTGTAGCTCTAAAAAAAGCTTAATATGACACTAATTATCAAAAGACACAAATTTCACCACTTTCTTTATTTTAAACTGTGTATTTATTATCAGTAGTGACAAAACAGTACAGTATTCACATCCATGTGTCCAACTTAATCACCAATTTCACATCACTATGTGATACCAAATAGCGGCCAACTGAGAAACACTCACATTCAGCAAAGATTCAGTGTTAATTTGTCCCACAGGTGAATGTAAAACACCGTTTGAACCATTATTCCTATATAAAAGACCTTTAGCTAAAGCCGTGCCATTGAGACAGACAACCCTGCGCCGTTTCCTATTTAATTAAAAACTGAAATTTTCTTCAAAGTTTCTCGACTTACCCTTGAGAATATTTGATGGACAGGAACTATACGAAGGACTTCACGTCATGTCGACTCCAGCGTCTGTACATTTCTTGTTATTCCTGTGGAGAAAATCCTAATTCATGAGTAAAACGGTGAATTTCTCTCTTGCCCAAAGGATTTCATTTCAGCTCTCAGGAGAAAGTTGGAGACGGGGTTGGATTGAGAGGGTGTGGCTTCGCACAATACGTCCAATCACATATTTAGCGGGCGTTTCCCTGCGCTGGAGGACCACTCAGTATGTGTGTGATTGACATGGGATATTCACCAATAGTAAGCCGGAGCGCTATTTTATGGACAGACCAGAGCGATAGATAAGAACAGACCAGCTTCTGAAGGCGGGCTGTAACAATTTGTCGGAAGTGACGTCTTACATGTGCAGCATGGACCACAGGTCTGTCAACGGTGCGAGAAAAATAAAGGAAGCTAAACAAGTGTGGCTTCAAAGTGAAAGTTTTATAAAGTTCAAACAAGTCTGTAAAGTTTCTCCAAACATAATTTTGTTTAAAAAACATTTTATTTCAATAGTAAAATAAAAAAAATGACATAAACATTCACAAAAACAGGTATTAGTGGCATTTTGTTTTGTTATTGGTGATGTTTTTTCAAGCCATTTTTATTCTGAAAATATATACCGGAAGTTAACACTTTTTATCCCGCAACTTCACTTTCGGCACCGCAACCAGCAGAATCAGAGGACCTCCAAGTAAACCTCATGCTGAATTGAGGTAAATGCTACTAATATTTAACTTAACACTTTAATTTCGCTGTTTGGCTGATATATTGTTGTGTCGTTGTTTCCGTGTTTAGACGCTGTGTCTCGCTTTTTAGTTTTGGACGCAGAGTCAGTGACAGACAGCTAGCAATAGTTGGCTAACATTAACGTTACTTCTAGCAGCAGGAGTTTTAGCTAAGGTAAAGCGAAATGTGGGGTAACCGTGGAAAGTGTGGACATTAAGTTGTCATGTGTGTTTTTGTGTGTGAGACAGACAGACAAACAGTCAAGACAGGGTTTGGGTGTTACATATAAGGAGAAACAGTTAATTTGCTAATACCAGGTGTTTCTTTTATCCAACCTCCAGTATTGCTCTAATGGAAAGCTTAACCCTCAAACACTCATGGATATAACATAACTGTGTTTGCTCCTCACACAGGGCAGAGTCATGGTGGTGAAGAAGAAGACAGCCAGAGTAGAGGCTGTGGTTTTGGAGGAGGAGAAACTACACCAGCTGATAGGTAATGTGACCAAACTACTGACCAGCAAACTAACTGTTGTTACTAGAAACAGAGACCTGTAATTAATCCCATTGGTGCTCCCAAAAAGATAAAGGTCAGAACACTTATCTACCACATTATATAGTATGTCATAGTATTTGATGTCTAGCAATGTGTGATCTTTCCCAGCATCCCTGTCTTTGGATGGAGGAGAGGATGGAGTCAGGCAGGTTGCCCAGACCCTGCAGTCCTGCTTGGAGCTGACAGATCCAGTGCAGCAGATCCAGCTGGTTAAAAAGGTTGGTTTTGGTAGCAAAGTGAGGAATTATAATAATATAATAAATAGGGGTGTAAATCACAAGCTTCATCACAATACAATACTATATAGATTCCTTAGACAACGCTACAAGTCTGTGGTGATACAATTTTGATTCAATTTGATGCAGGGACTTGTGGTTGATAATGAGACGACATTAGTAAATATGTTTGGAAAGGAGGTGTGCATACAGAAATTGTGGCAAAGAGGGCCATGGGAATTTCAAAATAAAGGCACATCTTTAAGATGACGATATGTATCGTTTTCACTTTGCATTGATGATATTGGATTGTTGATCACTGAATAAATAAATCCATCCAGATCCATTACACCCCCAGTAATAGAGTACCTTCCTGTCATCTTCAACTTGCAGGGATTATGTTGACTTTATAGACAAATGGCTTGATCAAACACATTGTATAACAACAAGATTAGTGTGTGTCTACAATGATAATCACATTATTTAACAAACTTTGTGCTACCATATACATTATATGACCATTGTGTGTCTGCACTGCACCAGGCAGGGTCCCAGCTGGAGGCACTGAGTGAAGAGGAGCCTGATGGAGCTCTTCTGGATGCCTGTCTACACACCCTGTCTCTGGTCTACACCTCCCTGCAGGCCAAGAACCCCCTACGACGAGCCATTGCCAGGTACATAGCTAAATTTGAGTGTTCTTAGTTTGAAACACATCTGTTCACATAAATGAGATGGAGACTATAAGGTCATTTCAGTGGCCAGTTGCTCGTGAAGCAACCAGTTTTTATTACAGATTTTATTCTGCTTTCAAATAGCAAACAGCAAGAATTGATCCTTCTTTGAAATTGCAAATCTCATTATCTGTGAATCTGGTCCCTGATCAATAACATTTCATTTGTTGCTTTCTCAGTGCCTTAGGTTCAGTGCCAGCCTGGCTACAAGAACGGACTGTAAACAGTTTGTCTGCCTGCTTGTCTGACTGTCTGTCCAAGGCAACTTCAGATCAGTATCCACACATTGTAGACACCATCACTGCCTGTCTGGATGGCTTCAGTCCTGGTGAGCGGGTTATTACCTTTATTCTTACTGCACACTTCACTACAGATATCTGCTAAATTATAATTCCTGTTGTAGAATAACTAACTTTCCAAAATTTCTTATCTCCAGGTGAGAGATGCATCAACAAACTGCTGGCTGAAGGTTAGTATCCAGCTTTCTTGTTGTGGAATAACTTAAAGTGAGGAGTTTCTATTTTTAAAAAGCCTCTCATTGACTGTCTTCTCATCTCCTCTATGTAGTGTTGCAGTTCCTTCACAAGGGATTGAGTGAATACCTTCACCAGAACAGGTATAGAAGCAAATTCTGTACTCCATATTTCTCGATATCACTTTTGCTTTGTACTTAGATTTATACTTTGTGACCATATGTTGCTAATTGTTGATCCATGTGTCTCTGTCGCCCCCTGCTGCTGCTCAAGTGGTCTAGCAGGACGTCACATTGTCCAGGCCCAGCTGATGCAGTCCTGCCTGGCTGCGGTAAAGACCTCCATGCTGGTAATCCAGAGATCCCAGGGGATCATCAGCACTGCCCTGCAGGCTGAACAGAATCATTGCAAGCTGGACGACACACTGAGCAGCCTCCTGGGCTGCTACACACACATCCTCACTGATGGTAAGAAACAGGACTGAAAAATGTAGAAACACCAGGAGTATACAGAGACATGTGGACCTTGTTCCCAATGTCTCCCAGTGTTTATTGGGAGGTAAACGTCTCTTAAAGGAGCACTTCACCCCCCATATGTCAGTTACTCACCCCATGGTTCGTTCAATTCACAGAGCTTTTCTTGCGTGCCTCCATGATGAACGAAGAATCCAAAAATAGAGAAAATTCTTGATGAATTTAAGTAAAAGGGGTCTACATTTAACAACAGCAGATCTACATCAAAACATTTGTTTGCAAACTGTCACAAAAACTCATGGAGTTTAATCCAAGTCTCATTCATCCAGTTTGATTCTCTCTTCAAAGCCAGACCATCTACAGCTGCCTTGACCAGTTAGTTTGTTTGAGTTATTGTCTGAATTTGGTGTTTTAAAGGGTTAGTGTGGACTCACCAAAGTCACATGATAACTTAAAAAAACTAACTGATCAAGGCAGTGGTGGACCAGCAGCCCTGCGTTCAGCAAGGTAAAAATATGTTTTTTTGTCAATGGAGTCTGGCTTTGAATAAAGCATAGGTAAGTTTAACTTTTAGATTAGTTTTGATATAGTTTTGCTGTTAATAAAAAGTAGCCCCCTGTGACTTCAGTTCATCAAGAATTTTCTCAGTTTTTGAGTCCTTCGTTCACTGTGGAGGCATGCGAGAAAAACAAAGTTTTCTTCATGAATTCAATGTAACAAAATGTGAGTATTTGAGATAATCATTTGGCTTGTTAAGTGTCTCTTAAAATCAATTGTCAGTTTTCATGATGACATAAACTAAAATAAATATTTCCTGGGAAATTATGTATTTTAATATGAAATGTATTATTAATTACTGATTACAAACATTTTTGAATGATACTGATTATGTTCACAAACAAATCCGTTCCAAGGAGCTTCACATGATCAGATGGAGTGCAGTGCCTTGCTCAGTGGAGTCTCAGTTGTAGTAGCTGGAGGTCATGTAGAATATTTTTCATGAGCTTCCCAAACTCCTGATGGCTCCAAGATGTTAAATGATGGCCATTTATACTTACTGTATAAGTATGAAATAAGTAACCAAAAATACCTCCATGTACATACTTTCCTCTCACTTCTTTCCTCCTCTGTTTCCTTTCCTGCTTCTAGAGGAATTCATCCAGTCAGTGCAGAGTACAGCCGGTATGGCTGTGGTGTTATTAATCAGGTCTGTCATTGGTTGTGGAGATGAAGTTGCCTCTGTGGTGAGTTGAGGATAAAGAACTCTGGATTATGCACATTATGTAAACATTGTTGAGAACATTTACTTATGTTCTGAATGAGACTGAGTTGTAAAGTAATGATCGTGGAAATAAATGTCTTTCTTTAACATGCAACACAACAAATACAGTACAGGCCAAAAGTTTGGACACACCTTCTCATTCAATGCGTTTTCTTTATTTTCATGACTATTTACATTGTAGATTCTCACTGAAGGCATCAAAACTATGAATGAACACATGTGGAGTTATGTACTTAACAAAAAAAGGTGAAATAACTGAAAACATGTTTTATATTCTAGTTTCTTCAAAATAGCCACCCTTTGCTCTGATTACTGCTTTGCACACTCTTGGCATTCTCTCGATGAGCTTCAAGAGGTAGTCACCTGAAATGGTTTCCACTTCACAGGTGTGCCTTATCAGGGTTAATTAGTGGAATTTCTTGCTTTATCAATGGGGTTGGGACCATCAATTGTGTTGTGCAGAAGTCAGGTTAATACACAGCCGACAGCCCTATTGGACAACTGTTAAAATTCATATTATGGCAAGAACCGATCAGCTAACTAAAGAAAAACGAGTGGCCATCATTACTTTAAGAAATGAAGGTCAGTCAGTCCGGAAAATTGCAAAAACTTTAAATGTGTCCCCAAGTGGAGTCGCAAAAACCATCAAGCGCTACAACGAAACTGGCACACATGAGGACCGACCCAGGAAAGGAAGACCAAGAGTCACCTCTGCTTCTGAGGATAAGTTCATCCGAGTCACCAGCCTCAGAAATGGCAAGTTAACAGCAGCTCAGATCAGAGACCAGATGAATGCCACACAGAGTTCTAGCAGCAGACCCATCTCTAGAACAACTGTTAAGAGGAGACTGCGCGAATCAGGCCTTCATGGTCAAATAGCTGCTAGGAAACCACTGCTAAGGAGAGGCAACAAGCAGAAGAGATTTGTTTGGGCCAAGAAACACAAGGAATGGACATTAGACCAGTGGAAATCTGTGCTTTGGTCTGATGAGTCCAAATTTGAGATCTTTGGTTCCAACCGCCGTGTCTTTGTGAGACGCAGAAAAGGTGAACGGATGGATTCCACATGCCTGGTTCCCACTGTGAAGCATGGAGGAGGAGGTGTGATGGTGTGGGGGTGTTTTGCTGGTGATACTGTTGGGGATTTATTCAAAATTGAAGGCACACTGAACCAGCATGGCTACCACAGCATCCTGCAGCGACATGCCATCCCATCCGGTTTGCGTTTAGTTGGACCATCATTTATTTTTCAACAGGACAATGACCCCAAACACACCTCCAGGCTGTGTAAGGGCTATTTGACCAAGAAGGAGAGTGATGGAGTGCTGCGGCAGATGACCTGGCCTCCACAGTCACCGGACCTGAACCCAATCGAGATGGTTTGGGGTGAGCTGGACCGCAGAGTGAAGGCAAAGGGGCCAACAAGTGCTAAACACCTCTGGGAACTCCTTCAAGACTGTTGGAAAACCATTTCAGGTGACTACCTCTTGAAGCTCATGGAGAGAATGCCAAGAGTGTGCAAAGCAGTAATCAGAGCAAAGGGTGGCTATTTTGAAGAAACTAGAATATAAAACATGTTTTCAGTTATTTCACCTTTTTTTGTTAAGTACATAACTCCACATGTGTTCATTCATAGTTTTGATGCCTTCAGTGAGAATCTACAATGTAAATAGTCATGAAAATAAAGAAAACACATTGAATGAGAAGGTGTGTCCAAACTTTTGGCCTGTACTGTATAACAACTCATAGTGTAAAACCCAGCTACGTAAAACAGTATTAAAATGTAAATCAACAAGGTAATGCTCTCAATTAATTTATTAATTGTTTAGTCATATGAAATGTCAATAAGTTGTGAAAAGTGTCCATCACAATTTCCCCTCAGCCTGAAGTGATGATGTTAAATTGCTTGTTTTATGCAACCAACTAAAGCAGTTCCAGATTAATGCTAAATTAATACTTTCATTTGAACAGCATTATAAAAAGTAAAAAAGCGTAGCAAGAAATACTTCCTGTCTGCAGGTCCTAACAAGGCTTTTAAATATTTATAATCTGATCTCATTCATGGTCCTAAATTCTTCCAAAGGCACACACAATTCGAACATACAATAGAATGGAAATGTATAAGTAATGACATAAAAAATATCTGCCGAAATATTTCTTGCAAAAACCTATAGTCATTCTCTGAAAATGTTCTTGGTTGTTCTTATCTGTGTGCGTTTGTTTGTCAGGTGTGCAGTTTGCTGCGTAGCTCGGCGCAGGGTTTGGACTCAGCTCCTCAGTGGCTAAAGCAGAGGTGTGAGGGTCTGTGTACCAGTGGGCGCCCACCGGGTGTCTCTCTGTATTTATGTCATGGGGCTCTGGCCATGTTGAGCTGGAAGGGTGCTCTGCCTGGGCCTCAGTGGGAACAGCTGCTGCTGTTGGTCCCAAACACGCTCCTGGATCTAGATGTCAGGTGGGTTTGTTAAACCGATCCCTACTCAGTACTGGGTAGTCCAGGTTGTAACCCTTTCTCAAATTAGAGTTAGTATCGAAAGTCCTTTAAAACAGATAATTAAGATGCTGCCCAGAGTAATATTATGTGTGACTACTTGACCTCTGTGAACCATCTCAAGAGTGGGTCTGTTTTTTTCTTTGCTGTAGTATAAAGGAGTCCAGTACAGCCATGGTGGTTGCTCGGGTGCTGACCCTGTGGAGTGGTGCTGCCCTGGACTGTCTGCAGGGAGAGAGGCAGCCCTGCCCTCCCCACCTTCAACAGTCCCTCAGTGGAGGCTCAGAGCTACAGCGACACCTGCTGGAGCATATCTACTCCCACTGGGAGCACCCACTAGACGGAGTCCGTCACCAAACCCGCTCCCTGTTCCGCAACCTTCTCCTCCTCCATCAGCACACCAACCTGTCCATCTCTGACCCAACCAATGACTCCTACATCACAGAGCTCACCCAAAGCCTGCTGGGACTTGAGTGGCACATGCGGGGGAAGTATGGCTCCTTGGGCTGCCTTGTGGAGCTCTATGGGGCAAGGTACCTGCTTGGCATCCAGCCTCAGCTGCCTTCATGTCTCCTGGGCCTGATGGGTGACCAGACCTTGGCTCCTTATGCCAGCGACCTCCTGGAGAGGCTGTTTGTCAGCCACAAGTCACAGCTGGCCAGTGAGGCTGGTGCAGCCACAGAGGACTGGATGGAGCGTTGGCACCAGACATGGGTAACCCCCTTGCTACAGGTGCTCTGCCGAGCCAGACTGGATCAGACCACGTACATTCTGGACTATTTCCTGCCTAAGCTGCTCCGCTGCAGCCCCTCCAGTCTGGCGCACATGGTGCAGGCCCTGCAGGACACACCACCATGCAGCACAGGTAGGAGCACAAATACACATGTCTGCACACAAAAAAAATTCACATGCTAAGTATCTGCATCTATTTTCTCTCTTTCCTTCTGGTCATTCTCATGATATGTCAGCTGCACAATAATGTCTCTCAATTTCAAAAAGCATTCTGTTGTGGTAAGAAATATGTTCAAAATGTTTTCTCCACAGTTACAGTGGAAGCATTCTTTAACACAGTTATGACAAAATTTACAACTGTTCTAAAATTGCTGTTATTCTTTTTTTGTTAGGTCCTTCAGGCAGCAGGGGGGCGCTGGGAGCTCTCATGACATGCCTGCGGGCAGCCAGAGCCCAGGGTGTTGTTCCCTCTTCAAAGGAGGGTCTGTGGGGAGGACTGGTGCCCCTCTCCCTACTCCAACAAGCACTGGTACACAAACATGATCAAGTGAGTGTCTGTATCCTCATGTATGTGTCCTTTGTTTTCAGTGTCGTAGAATTTTCATGAATTTTGTATGGCTTATATCTTGGATTTCCACACTCATGTGTCGTCAAATCCTACCGTCCAGGTGAGGATGGATGCTTTGGGCTTAGTGTGTGAGAGCCACCGCAGCACTGAAGCTCTGACCTCACAGGAAATGGACCTGATGCGCCACTTCCTGCCACCTAATCTCAACAGTCAGTCACCAGGTGTCAGACAGCAGTCAGTCAGCCTGTTGAAAAAGGTCAGCTATTCACCTCACATTGCATTTTTTAAAAGGGATTTTAGTTTCTCACTCATTTTGAGATGTGAAGCTGGTAACAGTCAGCTTGTGGGCTGGAAGCAGTTTGTACAAGAAAATGAAAAAACACCTTGATGGCACGATTTAGTAATCAGATCAGAAATACTGCTAAATGGAGCTTGAACTCCTCTACTATACAGCTGCTCTGTAGAATGAAGGACAGCACCGTGCTGCTGCAGAAGAGACTGGTCCAGGAGAGAGACCAGGAGCAACGAGACAGAGACCAGCATACACTACACCTTTACAAGGTATGTAACATACCTAACACAACAAAGCAGAGGTCTGCCTGAGTCTTTTTCCTTTGTAAAAATGAAGTAAAGGGCTCTTTGTGTGTTTGTATGTGATGTAGGAGTTCCTGCATTGGCTGTGTGTGAGGCTGCTGGAGGTTTTGCTTCCTGGAGCTTCCTTCTCTAAATGCCTTATGTCCCTCCACCTGCTGTGTCTGCTGGGCGAGCTCTTCACCTACAGCACTGGTACGTCTGCTCTTCATCAGCAGCAGTCATATATGGCTTACCAAACTTTACAAAACATCACAGCTGTGCAAAAATATGGTTGGTTTTATGGCAAATCAAGTATCTTGCTAAAGTAGATTTACAATACCAGCATTTTAAAATACATATATGCAATAAGTAATTGTAGTGCATACGATTATGTATACCTGCCTGTAGGACGTCACTGATTTTGTTTATCTTGGTGTTGTCACAGTCGTCATTTCATTTATTTTCAGTGCCAGAACTTCTTCGGCTTCCTGGTCATACAGTATGTATAGTACATAACATTGATGCTAATGCCGAGTATGCACTAGAAGACTTTGAGAATACTTTTAAAAGACTCAAGTGTAATGCTCTCTCACATCTAAAGACAATGTGAGTTTTTAGTCACACAAAATAATATTCCCTTTGAGATAATTTCCCATTCTGCTCCTGGCTGAAAACATTACACCAAACTCCTTTTAAGAAATATTATTATAATTAAGACATTCTAACAATTCTTCTTGTGTCTGCAAAAACACTAAACTATAGAAACCCAAGATAAAAGGTGTTATATGTCAATAATATTCTTGTCAATTTGGCATCAATATGATCCATGAAGATAAACTGTATTGGTGTACAAACTTTACATTTTGGATTTTGTCGCCTCAAATCGCTACCAGCCTCTGTTGGTTAGCTGTGCTATTTTAGTGGGTGAAGACTGTGGGAAAAAAATAATAAAAGTGCTGGTTGGTGGATCAGATAAATGCCGAATTAAACACTGACTCTTGTTGATCCCACAACTCCTCCAGTTTCTTGTTCATTTCCACAGTCAAAGAGAAGAGAAACTCACTCACATTCTTGCACTCCTCATGTTTACTGTCTACCTGGTTTGCTCCTTCCTGTTTGGTGCTTGAGAAGAGCGTGCAGAATAATATTTAAAATGTTTGATTTTACTGGAATGTCAAGACGAGTTTGGCGAAAGATTCATCCAAGAACTCAGGGCCGAGTGTTACATCTCATCCAACACGCTCAGAGCAGTTTGGAGTTCAGTGCTGTTTTCAAGGACACCTCAGTGTTGATGCCTGGCACATTCATGTAAAACCAGCGGCCAGCTCACATCTCTGGAATACATCTTTCTGTTGGTGCCTGGAGCAGCAGTCTATCCATTACTGGCCAGCCTCTTTACTTTGATGCCAACCTGACGCTCCAGCTGGCTCAGCGTATGCTCTCTTGTCACTCACAGTCCTATCCTGTGTTTCTTCTCATCTACCTCTCTGTTTTCCTCAGGCCCCGATGTGTTTGCCCTCGGTGAAGTCGTGACATCCTCCCATGCTCAGAATGTCCTCTACAGTGTTGCCAGCAACTTCCTGGAAGTCAAACAACTGGCGTCAGTGTTACTACAGCAACTCCCACCATCAGCCGTGGGACTACAGGTTAATATGAGGACCAGGCACAGTCAGTGCACTGAAAATAATCTGCATGAAGCATATTATATCCTAAAATGTGACAGTTAAGATGTAGCATCTTTTTTTAATTTCGTCAATGTAGTTTTTGTTTTGTGCTGACATTAGTTTTTAGCGTTGTAATTGGTGGTAATTACGTTCCAGTTGCAGGAGAACAATCACTGACTTGTACTGTATACTCAAGTTGTTATCACTAATATCACCTTGCTTCTTCATGATGTGAGGTGCCAGAGAGGATGCGCTGTGTCCTTCAGGCTGCTCTGGACCTCAGCACCAGCACCAAGCCTTTTGACAGCGTCACAGCAGCCCACCTCCTCAACCTGCTGCTCCACCAGCCGCACCTGAGCCAGGCTCTGCTGCACTGTGCCCAGGAGCAGGGCCTCGATTTCCACCTTCCCTCCTCACCCACCCAGGCTTCTGAGACAGTCATCTTGGAGCGCAACACACTGGCTGGTAAGATCCATGCATGCATAGCCCTAATACATAATATAATACATGTGTGTATGCATGTTGATACTGAGTAGAACAAATATCAAGATTGAATTGTTCTTCTGTCCTCAGTGATTCAGTTCCTGCTGCACTGTCTGCAGTTGGAGGTGTCGAAGGCAGAGTCATCTCTCTTGCAGGCGGCTGCTTCCTATCCTCTCTACGGCAGAGCCCACTGCATCACTGCTGTCCTGCAGCATCTAAACACTGAGTGAGAACATGAATCACAGTAACACATACACACATTAAACTACCTGTTTCCATTTGGATCATTTGGTTTGTTGTTGGCATGTATTTAAAGAGCTTTACCTTAGCCATATACTAATTAAATGTATGTTTGTGTGTGCTTAGGAGTTTGAGCCAGACTGAGCAGTGGAGGCATCTGGTGTCAGAGCTGATCGCTGTGTGCTACCGGATGTCTGATGTGGTCTCCCCTGTAGTCCAGAGCTCCTCCCCAGAGGGGCTTATCCCCATGGATACTGATTCAGGTAATCAGATTGATCGATCGGATCAGATTGGTGCATACACTTTAATATTTTTATCCTAAACCTCACACTTCTAATTCTGTGAGGTTGTTTGTACACTTTTTCCATTATATTATTTTCTAAATTGAGATTTGTTTTGCGGGTCCTTGAATGCAGCTCAGGTGGAACTCTTCATTAGTTCTTTTTTCCTTAGTGGCAGTTTGTGGAGTTTGAGTCGTGAGGCGGATAATTGATCCATCAATCCAGTCAGCTCTGATTTGATCAAGTGATCAGAGGAGCAGCTCCTGCTGAGGCGGGTAAATGCAAATGTTTAGACCCAGTGCAATGAACGGTTAAGTTTTACTTTCACTGCTCTGGCAATGTTATTGTGGCCGGCTGCCACAAATAACTGAATGTGTTGGAAACCCTACTGTGCAAAGTTTTTGTAAATTGCTTCTTTAAAGCAGCTGTGCGGAACTTTACGTTTTTGTTGATTATAGCGCCCCTTTGGTTGAAGCAGTATGACACCCACAGCCTGGTGTCGTAAAATCTCTACTGCAACCGGCAATTACCGCATGCATTTGTTTTGGAGAGCGAGAGGAAAATCATAAATGTTCTGGAGTAGCTCTGAATTTCTTATAAACTGAGGACAACTGCCTGCTGTATATTTGTGTTCATGGTCACAGTCACAGATAATTTTGTGGCGTTTGTTGTATTGTTACTAGACAAAAGCGGTTCACATTAGCTAACATTACATTTAGCTTGCTTATAACTTCCATGTCGTCATATATTGAAGTGAAACAACGTCTAACAAGTTGCGCTATATTCTCTAAATAAAAACAAAAACTACATACCTGTCGATTAGGAAAAGGGCCAACTCGGGATCAGTTTTAAAACCTTTCAAATCTCTCCGCTCTCTCCACTTCGTGAATGCCCGACTGAGGTTTACACGCATTTGGGCTCAAGCCCTATCATTGTCCCGTTTAGCCTTCTTTTGTTCTTTTTCTTTTAGATCCTTCTCCTGCTCCTTCTTTATCCGCCATGACATCAAAGGTACAACCAAGTCCTTATAGATACATCTGGTAAAACTGTTATGTGTTCAGCAATGCCCGTTGCGTACCGCTTACTCGAAGAACACTCTCTGTAAACACAGCTCTTCTTCTTCTCTCAATTTATTGGCGGATTGCAAACAACTTCCTACTGTACAAGAGACTACTCCCTACTACATGTCATTTAGCCTGTTTCTTAAATCCTACTCGTAAACACAGCTCTTTCTTCTTCTGTGGTTTAATGGCTGCGGGCCACTGCAGGCGTGCAGACTTACTTCCACCTCCGGGTGCCGCATTCTGATGTGCTGACTTCCGCTGTGTCCGACCCGACTGAGGCTACGCTAAATAGCCATATAGAGAAAGGCTTTTTTGTCACCGTTGGGTTCAAATAAATATGCAGCTCTTCGGGGGGGGGGGAACTAGGGACAGTTTTATAAATGGTAAAAAGTTCTGCACAGCTGCTTTAAACTGCTGAAGTTAGCTTTTATCTTGAGCATTATCAATGCCAAAGTGCTATAAAGGGTAGTTGTTCCGCTTTATTTGTGGGCAAGTTTTGTTCATGAAATGTTACCCAAGAGTGACAAGAAGTTCACACTGCAGTACTTAAAATCGTGCTTTTGGAAATCAGCTGACAAAAACGTAACACCTGTAGAAGAATGCTGAATATATTTTCACTGTTCATTAAATTGTCCTGGCTTAGAGTGCAGCATAAAAACAGTGTTTCAACAATAAATACATGCAACATAAAGAGTCTAAAACAGCTGTCACTCACTGCAAAAGTGTATGCATAATATCCAGTCAACATGCAATAATATGGACAGTTCTGTTATGAATGCAAATGATTTTGAAAACACAAGCAGTTCTCTTAAATCCCTCGTAAATGCCACTTAAGAATAAATCTGCTCACTCAAGTGGCTCTTGCATGAGGTCCACTGTGTTTATGTCTATATGATCCTCTTCATTTGTATCATAAGTACATTATACTAAATATAATGTGTGTGTCCAGAAACTAAAATTCTGGAAAACGAAAGAAACAGAAGGGTCTCACTGAGCATGTAAATCCTGGATTACATTGAATCACTGTTTATTATAGACAGTACAAGAGAACAGATTTTTGGAGAATGATATGGTAACCAAAAACACTCAGTCAGAGGGTTTAATTTTTACTGCAGGTTATATTTTGTTAAATATCAACAAAAATAACATTAATAGGGAATTTGTGGGACAGAACCATAGTTTTAATTGATAGAGGCATACAGGTAAGGTCATGGAAATTTTTACAAGGACCATGGAATATTATTATGATGTGCTATTTGTGTGTGTCTGTGTGTGTTTGGACAGAGGCGTCAGCAGGTCTGCAGAGGATCCTGCAGGAGATTCAGCCCAGGGACACCAATGACTTTTTCACAAGTGCCAGAGAGCTGGAAACACACCACGGAGAAGACCACACACAGACCCAGACTGCACACACACCATCACTGAACACAGGTGAGTTAGAGATCATTATACTGATGCTGTTCAACATTATGGAGACAAATATCTTGTCATGCCTCACTAGTCTCTCATTTTTTTTTTAGTTTTCTTAAATATCAAAGTAATAGAGTCTGTGCATTTATGAGTACATGGAACTGTTAATAGCACAGCTTCCTGCAGTCCTCTGTTTGGCAACATTATACTTCCTATTTACATCCCCAAAAAGATCATGGAAAGTGTTGTTCCAAAATTTAGAGCATGTTTAACCCCCTAAATACAAGTGAGACGTAGAGGTAGTCAGCAGTAAGAGTGAACTTTTTTTTTTTTTTTTTTTTTATGTTTTGTTATCAATACTTTTAGACATTACTTATGGTTAAGATATCCCATCTACATGTCTGTTACATTCATGGAACACTGACATTTTCCATTTCCCTTATGTTGAATACCTGTGTGCAGATGGAAAAAAGGGGAGCCCATAGTGTCAGACTTTGAAAACCCTTGCATTAGGTTTATTTTTTACTTGTGATAGAAGTGGATTTGATTAGTGAAACCAGCGAGTCATTGCTGCTTCAGAGTGCAGTACTGACAATGTCCTGATGGGGGCAGCGTTTGACCTCACTGTGTGGTATATTTACACAGTGCACAGTGGCATACTTCTAGGAATCTTATTAAATGATGACCTAAACTGCTGTAACATTACAGTGATAAAGACAGCGGAATGGCTCTGTACAATGTGTGTGTGTGTTCGGTCATGTGCGACCCAACATAAATAACAAAAGCAGCCAGACACATGATGTGACTTTGGACGTCTTCTTTTTTCCACTGAATACAAAGCTTTAACATGGTACATTACATAATAAGACAAATAAATCTTTGAGTTTAGATTATTAGGTAATAAACCAAAAAGTGATCAAACTCTTTCCATGTCACTTTTTGCATGTGTGTGTGTGTGTCACTGTGTGTGTGTTGGCTCCAGGCGGTGAGGGCTACAGGGTGACAGCCCAGATGGTGCTGGTATGTTGCTGGCGGAGCATGAAGGAGGTGGCCATGCTGCTCGGACAGCTGTGTCAGAGCCTGCCTCTGCACTACACCAATGACACCCACACACACCCTGGACTCATCACAGAAGAACAGGTGAGATCCTGACATGCTAAACACACACACACACACACACACACACAAAGCTCACTCTCATCCTATTACTGCTGTTACCTCATATGCAGTAGCATCAAGTGTTGTGTGTATATCCTGCCTGATGAATCTTAGTCCTCTGTGCCGTAGAGCTCCACTGTTGTCCAAACAGAATTGAAAACGCATCAGCGAGCGATAGTTTCCCTGGGTGACATGTTCCTTCATTACTAAGAATACACACAAGGCTTGGGCAACATGATAATGGTTGGCCACAATAATGGTCCTTATGGGTCCATGACAACAGAATGGTAAACTGTGCAATGCCTGTTATGAATTTTGAGCTACATTGAGTCTCTCTCTTTTTCTCTTGCTCTCTAAATGCTTCACCCCATTATTGTAGTGTATCAAAAAAAAGCTAACAACATGCCAGCATGTGTTGATACTGAACATAATTACTCAAGTAATGAGCCTATGCTTTGTTCACACTATAAGTGACAAAAGAATAGCGTGGCAGCTACGTTATTGCTAAGTTGCTATATAAGTGCAGCAGGAAAAATGTTCACTGTTGTTAGCAAAACAAATGCAAATATGCCTAATTTTCAATTCCTTGGTAAAGCCAAAATTCTGCCTACAAATTCTGGTCACTTATGGTTATTGCAACATATGTGCTGCAGCCCATAGATATCCATATCTATGCACGTATCTCTTCAACTTTTTTTCTCTACTGGACAATAATTGCATATATTGTTGTTTTTCTTAAAGCAATATCGTCAGCAGGGGGATTTCAATAACACCTGACCCTAAAACACACTCACTGTATTATGCGATCTGCTTTACGGATTCAGTTTAAAGTTAAAATCAGGTATTTGGAGACAAACGCATTGTTGGCTAGATTTATTGACAGTAGCCAGCCAGGCAGGTTTCCTACCAGTGTGGCACAAATTTTGACCAAATTTAAAGAAAATCAGCAAAAGCAAATGCAAATAATGCATGTTTCCATCCACTACTGTTATGTCAGTGTTAAAAGTTGAGTGTATTGAGGTAAACAGCCTCTTGTGAGCCATTTTTCCATTGCAGAAAAAAAGGGCACAACAAGATGTGGTCACTGGGTCTGGACGATATGGAGAAATGTTGCTATGTGACATTATTGTAGGGTTGATTATTAGTGTTTTAATAAAATATTACTCAGTGAGGTTTTTGTTGAATAATCATCAGTAATGTGGATATAATGACTGTGGGTAAAGGCCAATAATATAACAGCTGGAAGAATTTACTGTAGTTCAGTTTTTAAAACCAGCAAAGGACAACGGTCATGATATTACAATATCCAAAATGTCAGATGACATCTAGTCTCACAGTGTGCCCATCCCTCAGTGTCACATTTCTGTGCTACATTTGTTAAATTACAGCAGGTCACTGACACAGTTTACAGTGCCACAGTGAGCCCTGGCCTCATGTCACCTTACATAAAGACGATCACAGTGAGTTCCACACAGTGTGGTATCCAGATTGATGCATTCCTACGTGTCATCATGAATTATATAAGATGCTGATCAGTCTGCTGTGCTAATCCACTACTGATATGTTACATTAATAACTAAAATATAAAACAGCCTAGGCTCTGCTGATCATGTTTGGTATGTCAGTAGTACGGCACATCTGACAGAGGGCCCTTAAAACATCTGCAGTCTCTTCTCGGCTCTGTCTTGTCACTATTCTTACTGCTTTGAAGTCACATTTTGGGAATGGGATGGCTAACGGGGCTAACCGAATTAACAGCAAAGCTGTGGTAGTGTGCTGCTAAGAACACAGGCCAGCTCCCCCACCTTGATCACATCGGGAATTGCCAATCTCATACAATGACAATTGGACATTAAAAACTACAGGTGCCTGGGGCGTCAGTGGCTTAGTGGTAGAGCAGCCGCAGCGGCCCGGGTTCGAGTCTAGCCCATGGCCCTTTGCTGCATGTCATCCCCCTCTCTCTCTCTCCCCCTTTCACACTTGGCTGTCCTATCCATTAAAGGCGAAAATACCCAAAAACATACCTTTAAAAAAAAATAAAAAAAACCTACAGCTGCCTGACCCGAACATGAACATTAATGCTGCCTCAGCTGAGATCTACAAAGCTGTTTACATCACATACAAAGGAAGTATTCAATGTAAAAAGGTGTCACGTTTTTTACTGTATGTGTGTATACCTACGGTCGCAGGGAATGATGTGAATGTGTGTGTTTTGTCTGTGTGTGTGTGTGTTTGTGACACCACGCTGGGAGGCTCTTCAATTAGCATCCGCCCTCGTTAGTGCCGCGCTTTCATTTGAGGCCCGACCCTGCTGGTTTAACGGCCGCGACACCCCTCCCTTTCCACTGCATTCTTTCCAAATCACTTCCACCACCAGCAGGAAAACACTGAGTGCTTCAAACAACATACACACACACACACACACACACACACACACTCTCTCTCACTCACTCACTCACTCACCCACAAACACACACACACACACACACACACACACACACACAGACTGACACACAGACAGACTCACACAGGAATAGTTGTCTGAGTGGTTCAGCATGTGAACGTCCATAATAACAAGGGTACCAGACATAGGCTGTGTTTGTCTGTGTAGGGGGTAAAGGGTGTGTGTGCATGTGTGTTTGTGTTTGCCTGTTGAGCATTTATTTAGTCCTGAGAGAGAAAGTAGGAAGTATCGTACTGTACTATGTGCTGATTGTGTGTTTTTTATGTTTGTGTGATGGAGGGCCACAGTTTCTTAGAGCATCAGGGATGTGTGCAAAGAGTCATGAGTGCATTTACTCCAGGCGTAGCAGCAGGCTGTGCGTTGTACTTTATGTTACGCATTAGCATTTGGCTTTTGCATTTTATTTTCTGTTGTGCTATTTGCTTATATATACAATGTGTCAGTTTTTGAACTTTTCCCATCAGTTACCATTTGGCAAAAACCGACATTTATTAAGATATAATGTGACTACAATGGTTTATATACAATTGCCCATGTGTGTGAACAGGCAAGTCAGCACTACTGTACTGTTAGCCGTGTGTACCTTTTGATGCAGCCATTTGATTGTGGGTTAAGTGTCCTTAAACAACTCCTGATCCTCTCTTGTTTTTCTAAATGTAAAGTTTAGTTAATACCACTCTTATGTCGTACAGTAGATATAGAGTTAGTCTGCACCTGGTTAGCATAGCTTGTAAATTAATGAGCTTTAGATATGCTGGTAGATGGATTTTGATACCTTTGGACAATGCCAGGCTGTCGGCTATAAGTTAAGCAGCTGCTGGTGGTAGCCTCATATTTACCGTGTAAATATGATAGTGGTATAGAGTGCTGCAGGGATGACTTATTTTTTGTAAGATGACCCGAAAGTCAGCCTCGCCCTGGTTCCCACTTCAAAAGGCCAGTGGGATTTATTCTTGGATTGTGGATTATTGTAGAAAATAAGAAAAATTATGATACTTACACGTTTTGTTCATCTAAACAAATGAACATCACTTTTATGATGATTGAAGTGTAAATGCAATTGTCAGAAGCAAAAAGCTAACATCAGGCTACAAACAAACTCCACTACGGTCACATGACTTCAACGTCAACACCACGAGGCTGTGGAGCTGTGTTCAGTGTGATGATGTTCTGTAGTCTCATTTAGCCACTTTGTTAGCAGCCATCCTCATAAAGACACTTGTAAGCTTCAAAATTCCTGAGTGGGGTATTTACTGATGTATTTTATGTCGTAAAACAAAACGGGAAAACCTCTGAAGCTTGTGTCAACCACAGACCTTATTTCAAGCATCTAATCAAAATTCCATTCAAAAAACTCATTGACTTTGAGACTAGAGGAGAGGAGTGCTAAAATGCTAACTCATTTCTAGGTCTTAGGGCTAATTCCTGCATCTAAAGAAAGTGGATATGTGTTTTTTTCCAAAATGTCCAACTACATTTTTACTAAGCCGATTATAGTACTGACCAATAATTCAGGACCAGTGAAGCTCAGATGCTAGCAGCTAACAGTGAAAAGTATTTTACAGGGACTTTGATGCTGATAATCTTAATATTGTATGGCACTAATCTATACAAAGTATTTGACAACGGGTTTGACCAGGTTCTGCAAAGACACGTGAAATCCATGCATAGGCCTTAGTTTGGCACGTCACAGTTCGTCAATGAGTTTTCAGTTCCATGCTCCATTAAATATTCAGAACATTTTGTATTCTCTCTAAACCAGATGGACACATAATGAGACTGTGTAAAACAGCCAGAGTCTTTTTAACCGTCACTGCAATGGACTTGATAATGATGTCACCACCACAGTGTCCTGGAGAGATAATTGATGGTGATATCATGGATACCATGTTGTCCGCAGTGGTAACTATGGCGATGGGCCTCATTACATAACCATTGATTTAACAAACTCATGCTGAGGACCACGTGGACAAAAGGAAACTCTGAACTCCTGTGCTCTCTGTCTTAACCGCATCCCTTTTTCTTGTACATTCGCTTGTCATCAGTTCCACGCTTCGTGCGTATGCAAGTGCAAATAGTGGGTGTGTGTTAGCATTAACGTTCAGTGGGGTGATTCCAATAGTGTTTGGAAAGTTGGGTCTGGCAGTGTCTTTGTGGGCACAGTCATTCTGCCCTACCACAGCGATGACATGCATGGGCAAACATATGTGTTTAATGTGTGTGTGTGTGTGTGTGTGCGCGTGTGTGTGTGTGTTTGTGTGTGTGTGTGTGTGTGTGTGTTCGTGTGTGTGACCAAAACACATAGCTTTCCAAAATGTGTTTGAGTTCCACACCTCCTGCAGTCCTCTGCCAGCATCCTGTGTTACATCCTTGTTGGCCTGGCAACACTGCAGATGTTTCTGTCACTGGGTGGCACCATGGCAACAGCAGTGGTTGTGGATGGGCGTTAATGGTCATGTTTGATTCCTGTCTTTATTTCATGACCTTATTTTGCTGTTTATGATCAGTTAACACAATA